CGGCTGAGCCAGGCTGGGGCCGGGAGCTGAAGGATGGCAGCGAACCCTTCCGGACAAGGTGGGTTTCACCCCCAGTATTCGAGGGGAAGGACCCTGGGCAACTCGTCGGGAATAGTTTATCCGAGACAGGCAGCGAGTGTGGGAACTGTGTGGAGGGAATAAAGGGGAGAACTTGAGTCCCACGTTACCTTTTCTTTTATGATGATGCAGAAGCTTCGCATTTATAGACTAGCAGCCAATCGAAGATAAAATCGTGTCTAATCTTGACACGAGGAGTGTCCTTAGAGGCCTGTAAGAGTCAGCTCTGTGCCTGTTGCCCTCAGCTGTGCAGAGCAGCCGTGCTGGGCAGCAGCAGGGACTTGTCTGGCTGCTTTCCATGTGGTGGCTGCAATAAAACCTCTCTTACTCATTATTTCCATTATTATCATCCTTATCATCCATTATCCTTAATACTCCTGTATTATAACTAAAGCTGCATGTTCAGTGAGTGCATTCCAAACCTAGAACCTGGGAAGTTTACTGTTTTTTTTTCTGACAGGCAAGTATTTGGTCTTGTGCCTTGTTATCATTCCAGAGCTGGCTCAGGAAGGGGTAGGATCTGGCCTGAGATAGAAACCTGTGTTTTAATATGGATTGCAGCATAAGGAAGCTGTTTCGTGTCAAATGAGACAAGGAAAAAACAAACCAATTTGTCAATAGCCTTTCAGATTGGGGTCAGGGCTTTGGAGAATGTGCTGTTCATCACCATGTCATGTTATACAAAGATGTTTAATTCCACATGGTTAGAGTTGGGCTACAGAAATTAAATGCATCTTTCTAATTATTATTTTTTTTTGTCGTTCCCACCAGGTTTCCAGAATAAAAACAGGGTTGCAATCCTGGCAGAACTAGACAAGGAGAAGAGGAAGTTACTTATGCAAAACCAGTCTTCCACAAATCATCCTGGAGCCAGGTATTTTATGTTCTTAGACCTGTGTGGACATCACTGGTTACATCAAAGGGAAAAGAAGAGCAAACTTCTGTAGACACCAGAGGGTGTCTTGTGACCATCCTCAGTAACTGATCAGACAGACCTTGTGCTTTAGGATCGTAGTAGTATTTAGAATTATGGAATGGTTTGGGTTGGGAGAGACCTTAAAGATTATGTAGATCCAAGCCCCCTGCATGGGCAGGGACACCTCCCACTAGATCAGGTTGCTCAAGGCCTAGCCAGCCTGGCCTTGAACACTGCCAGGGAGAGGATATCCACAGCTTCCCTGTGAAACCTGTTCTGTTGTCCCACCAGCCTCACACTAAAGAGTTTCTTCCTAATGTCTAGCCTCAATCTCCCCTCTTCCAGCTTTGATCCATTCCCCCTTGCTCTCTCACTAGAAGGCCTTGTCAAAAGTCTCTCCCCAACTTTCCTGTAGCCCCTTCAGGTAATGGGAGGCAACTGTGAGGTCCCCCTGGAGCCTTCTCTTCTCCAGGCTGAACAGCCCCAGCTCTCTGAGCCTGTCCTCGTAGAACTGCTCCAGCTCTTGGATCATCTTTGTACCCCTTCACTTTCTCCAGGATCTCCATGTCCTTTTTGCTGAGGGCTCCAGATCTGGACCCAGTACTCCAGTGGGGTCTCACCAGAGCAGAGTACAGGGGGAGAATCATCTCCCTTGACCTGCTGGAAAGGCTTTTTTTCACACAGCCCAGGACTTGTGGCTGTGGGGGGATGAGGGTTGCTTCCTGGGCTGCCACCACAAATTATGCACAGACCCTGGATTTTGGCTTACATCGTTTCCACTGACTTGAATGGGACTGCACCCATGAGTGAAATCCACAGCACTCCTCATGACTGTGAGTCTTCTTGGGTTTAGACTAGCATCTGTTGTCTGCTAAGTCAAGGGATGCAGCTGTGGTCACTGCATTTTCTCTCTTATGTCAGCAAAGAGTAGTTCCAAGCAATCATTAAGCTGCAAGCCAGTAACGAGCTGTGGAAGTCTTGGGCTCTCTGGCTAGAGTGGCCAGGACATGTCTGTGTTTGTGGGAGGTATCACCCCTTCTCCTTGCTCCTTGCAGCATCGCCCTGGCAAGATCTCCCCTGAACAAGGATTTCCGTGACCACGCCGAGCAGCAGCACATCGCGGCTCAGCAGAAGGCTGCGCTGCAGGTGAGCTGGGGCCCTTGGAGGGAGTTGTCTGAGCTCCGTGTGAGATGTGGATCCCTGGGAAGGGCAGTTCTGCACCCAGGGAGAGTGGGCAGGCCCTGACAGGTTGGGTTCTGCATTTGACACAGGTGGAGTTTCTTCTGCTTCTATGGTAAAGGCTCAAATGTGTCAAGAGTTAAGGACCAGACAGGGAGAAACGGATGCTGAGTGCTTTAGGAGCTTACAGGTTAAGTGGTACTGGTGCTGTGGGGAGCTCTGCTCTGACACGTTTCTCTCTTCCCAGCATGCACATGCACATTCCTCCGGATACTTCATAACTCAAGACTCTGCGTTCGGAAATCTCATCCTTCCCGTCTTACCTCGGCTGGAGGCAGAGTGAGGAATGTTGTTTCTCTGAACTGCAGGCTCTGATTTTTGTCCACAGCAGGAACTTTCTGACCTTCTCATTTCTGTACGTACCTTAAAACCTGCTTTTCTCTGGATTGTTGTGGTTGCCTCTCGGAAGAGTGAGCTCTGGCGATGACAAAGCGATGATGCTGTGGAGCGGCAGGTTTTTTTTCCAGTTTTTTTCCCATGTTTTTGCTCCTCTGTCAGGTCACAGGCAGAGGTCAGACTTCTCTGGTTTGTGCAGTGCACTGTGCTTGCTCTTCCCCTTTTCTGTGCTGCCTTTAAATAAAGGTCCACACCAGAGTCACCAGGAGATGCTTACCCTGCCAGTGTGTCTGTTCTTGGTGGGTGCAGGTGCTAGACTGGATTTGACTGAGACACAAAAGTTCCTTTTGTCCATCCAAACAGACATGGATTCATGGGAGGCCCCAGCCAGTCTGGTGTTTCCCTGTAGGCAGGAGCACTGCTGGGGCACTGTTTGCTGTTGTAGGATCATCTGGTCTTCACATGGCTGTGCCTTAGGGGCCAGGTGGCCTCCCCCGGGGGTGACATGATCTTTGCCCCACACCCAAACTCAATGTGGTGTCCTCAGGCAGGGAGTTGTCGCCCACCACCAGCAGGACAGGGCAGCTTAGGTGGTATCAGAAGTCACCCCGGGGTCAAAGGTCAACCAGAGTTAAAGGGTCACAGGATCAGAGGTTGAGGGATTAGGGGTGAGCAGGGGGTCAGGAGTTGCCATGAAGTAATGGGAGGGGACCAGACAGCATGGCTAGGGTCAGGAGTCAGCAGAGGGGTCTGGGGGCATGAGGTCAAGGATGACCAAGGGGTTGGGGCCCAGCAGAGGGGTGAAGGGTCACAGGGTCAGGAAGAAAAGGGTTAAAGGTCAGCAAGGGGTCATGGGCGTTAATGGCATCAATTGAGGGGTTGACCCCATGGTCAAAGGAGGGACAAGAGGGTCAAGTGGAAATTCAGTAGGGTCAACAGGGTCAATTAGGAGTCTGGGGTAAAATGGGATCAGTGGGGTCAAAGGAGGGGCAACAGGGTCAGCTGGGGGCTCATTTGGGTCACTTGGGGGTCAGTGGGGTCACCTGGAGATCAGTGTAACCAGCTAGGGGCTCAGTTGGGGCATCAGTGGCTCTTGGGAAGGGGGGGTCAGTGGAGCAGGAGCACTTAAAGGTCATGGGGTCACAGAAGGTGTTACCATCAGTGGGGCATGGAGCCAGGCATCCTCCATGCCAAGTGGGTCCTGATGGACCACCAGTAAGTTCTCGACCATCTCCTGCATCTCCTCATGGGCAAAGAGAGGAGAGGAGCACAGGCATGGGACTGAGGCATCCTGCAGAGGCAGGGAGGGGAGGACAACGTTGGGAAAGGTGAGCAGGGTGGTGTGACCAGGACAGGGGTCCCAGCAAGGGTGGCACTGATGGCCCCAAAAGGCGTCTCCAAAACTGACCACTGCTGGACAAGAAAGGGAGTCAGGAGGGCACCCTCAGCTTCCCCTAAATCCCTCCCATCCCCCACAAATTCCCTCCAGCCCCCCCAAACCAGTCATAGATTCCTCCAAGTCCCCCCAGCCTCCCCAGTATCCTAAAGTCCACTCCCAAATCCCCTTTTCACCCCCAGGACCCCCTCAGACCATCCTTATATGACCTCAACACCACTGGGGAAGGCCTGGATTGATGCTGAGGGCACTGCACACTCAGCACAAGGGAGCAGAGCCCGCCCTGGAGGGGATGGTGCAGGGGAAGGCACCTGTGAAACCCTATAGAGCTTGAGCCTCCACTGCAATAGTCATGAGTAATTGACCGGTTCAACCTTCAATGTGCATGACTCAGTATGCATTGGCTACAGGCAGCAGAAGGAAATAGACCTGTGCATTTCCATGCAGTAGAGTGTGAATGATACAACCTATCTGACAGGCAAATTGGTTTCAGAAAAGTTCCTATCGATAATATTTGCAGTGAATTACAAAATGCACCTTGACCATTTCAGTGAGGAACAAAGCAACACCCACTGCAATGCTGCTTTGGTTCTTGCCAGCCTGACATAGAACACATTATTCACCACCATAGAGGTTTCCTGCACCCGATAATGCTGGTATTTCCTGTAAAGGGTGGGAACTGTGCCTTTATTTCTTCTGTGTTCAGTGGAAGTGAAAAGATTTCAGAGATAAGGCTGAGGTACTCAATGACTACTTTGCCTTAGTTTTCAATAAAAGTTGGGGTTGTTCAGCCTAGAGAAGAGAAGGCTCTGTGGTGACCTTATAGAAGCTTTCCAATACCTGAAGAGGGCCTACAAGAAAGCTGGGATAGGGCTTTTTATACAGGGGCATAGTGAGAGGACAAGTGGCAATGGTTTGAAGCTTAAAGAGGGGAGATTCAGATTGGACATTAGAAAATGTTCTTTCCTGCAAGGGTGGTGAGATGCTGGAACAGGTTGCCCAGGAAGGCTATGGATGCCCCCTTGTGGAGAACCGACCTCCAAAAAAATATGTCTCTCACTGAAACTGTAATACAGAGACATAACAGAAAATATAAAATAAAAATAAAATAAAAATAAAAATGGAGGAGAAACAGTGGACCTGTGCCTAAGACTGTAAAGCAATGAACTCAAGACCAATACCACGCCTGTTGCTGCTGCTGCTGGTAAAAAGGAGAAAGAAGAAGACCCAAGGGAAAGGAGAAGGAAAACCAAATAAAAGGAGCCGAGCTGAAAGCAGCCCTGGCTGAGGCCACCACAGGCTATGACTTTGCCACCAGACCCGGGTCCAGTGAGGAGAACAGTGTCAGACTCCTCGCCTCTCCAGCGCTCCTGAGACCATTGACAGAAAGCTCTTCAGGGCGATAGCGGTGAGTGGCCCTGCCCCCCGTGCCATGCCCAGACTCCAAAAAGAGCTGTCCCCTGTGTGCCCAGGCACACGGCAGCCCGAGGCACCAGAAGGACGAAGGCAGCAGCTGCTGCAGCCCCTGCTGTCCCTGCTGCTGGTGCCACCTGCGCTGGAGCTGCCACAACTCACCTCACCCCCCGGCTCCAGGAGGACCTGAGCACAACATCACCACTCAAACCTTTCATCTCTGATGTGTTCTCTCCCCAGGTGTGTGATTGCCCCCTCACTTGCACTCATTTTCACCAACCTGCAAGGGAAAGCCTCGGGCTTGTAACCACCCTCTCTATTATTGCTTTCATAAATACACATTCCCTGGTTCATATAGGACATTTCTTTCCACTCTACACTGTTCTATTTGATATTTTAGTAGAAGTTAAAACTTGCCTCTGTGTGTATGTGCTTCCGAGAGGAGCTTATTAATCAGTTAACATACCTGGTGGAAGCAAGTTGGTCCCAGCTTCCCAACCACACATCACCAAGTCTGTAGCTTACCATGGGGTTATGACCCAAGTGCAGGACCCAGCACTTGGCCTTGTTAAGGTCCCTTCCAACTCAAGCCATTCTATGATTCTATGAAGAGATGTTTTAAAGAAAGGTATTGAGTGCATGAAACACCCACTGAATGATGCAGTCTTGGCTGGAAGTCTGCAAGAGCTCATTCTCAACCAGGACAGCACAGCCCCAGGTGTGAGGCATGCCTAGAAACAAAGCTCATGGCCTGGCTCTCTGGTGCAGCACAGAAGCACCAGGCTGCTGCAAACCCCATCTGCCTGGAATGTCAGTGCTTGGGCACAGAACAGACAAGACCTGCTTTGGCTGGAAATGGAGATGAGGTGGAGAGGCAAAGGGGGTGTTTCTTTGTCCTTTGCAGCATTTGATTATTTGCTGGTGCTGAAAAAGGGTGAGAGCTGCTCTTGACAAATCCTGCTTTTCTTTGTGGCTCAGTGACTCCTGAGTACTGACTCTTGCAGGACAACACACACGTGAAACCCTGCTCAGGCAGAAGCTCCTAGTTCCACCACACAAGCTCATCTAGAAACCCTGAACATCCAAGATGTTCTCCAATGGTGAAGCAGAGGAAGACCAGCCTGGCACAAGCACAGGCTGGGGGAACAGAGTGCTGCCAGGCAGGAGGATGCTGCAGGACAGGGGCAGGTTCCATGTTTGTGCTCCAGGGTCCCAGTAGCACAGGGCATCCCTGGGGGCTGGCACAGGTATTTGGTGCTGGACAGGTCCCTGCTGGCCCTGAAGGGCTGTGTGTCCCAGTCCTGGAGGAGGTGGCTATTTGGGGCAGACACAGGGGCTGCATCTGGTTTCCTGGAGAGCCACAAGCAGCCCCAAGGGTGAGCAAGACCTGCTCTCGTCACTCACAGCTGAGGGAAGGCCAAACATATCCTCCCTGCTGAATCAAACAGCCCGTCTGGTAGCTGGTCCTGGATCACTTCTTGAAGATCTTCTCCCAGGTGCTGGGCCCAGGCAGCATCACATCCCACACAGCCAGGGTAGCATTGCAAGCCAGTGCACCCTGTCAGCAGGGCTGTCTTGGCCACCACACTGTGCCTGTTGGCAAGTCCCCAGGGCTGTGGGGGCTCATACCTGTCACGGCATGATCCTCAATGGGAGCATGACCATTTCCTTATTGTGCCTAGAGGGGCCACAGGTAAGGATGGTGCTGTCAAGTGGCAATTGAAGGTTGCCTTGGCCATAGTGACCATGAAGCAGTCAAGTTTAACATCTATGGTAATAGGAGGAAAACTAACAGTAAGACCTCAACTCTGGACCTGAGGAAAGCAGACTTCAGGTTGCTTGTGGAACTGCTTGGTAAGTTCATCTGGGAAAAAGCTTTTCAGGGTGCTGGAGTCCAACAGCGCTAGTCACTCTTTAAGCACCACCTCCTAGGAGCACACGACCAGGTGATTCCAATATGCTGGAATTCAAGCAGGCAAGGTAAAAGGCCACCCTGGCTAAGCAGGGATCTCCTGCTAGAGCTAAGGCACAAAAGGAAGGTGTATGGCCAGTGGAAGGAAGGACAGACAACGACTGTAGGGATGCTGTTTGCCACTGTAGGGCAGAAATCCTTGCAGCTAAAGCTCAACTAGAGTTGA